CATGAGGCCCCTGGTCATCTGATCGCTATACAGTACAGATGGTTTTGAAGGAGTTTGAAAAAGGAAAAGTGGCTAATGAGTGCACAGAATTTATGTGGGAGCTCCTTCAGGACAGCTGGAAGAGAATCCCAAGGGGCCACCTTATGGGACAATTAGGGTTAAGGGCCTTGCTCAAGGGACCAATGGTGGGATCACACTGTCGACCCAGGGATTTGAACCAGCAACCTTCTGAGTCCAAACCCGTAGAGATGCCCTACCACATCAAATTTTTTTTTTTATACATTTTTGTTCAGTGCATAATTCATATATGTTATTTTAGAATTCTGATGTCTTTATCATTATTCTGAAATATAGACAATAGTACATATTCTGAGGGTAGGTGTCCCCAAACTTTTGACTGGTACTGCATATAGATCCAGAATGGCGGAGCAGCAGGATTTGATGGGACTGTAATTGCGGTTCATGCCTGTGGTGATGTGTCTAGACGGTGACGCACCATCATCTGGGCTGGTGTGGCCCCAGCCTGAGACCCAGCACTGTGTGCCCCCGGGAAACTCCTGCTCATACCGAGGGAGACACACCGGCCTCACGGTGTCTGTGGGAACCACAAGAGGACGAGCAGCAAAGTGTGTGAGGGTTTGTCCTTGTACATCTGCATGCACAGATCCTCTGTGCTACTCGCCACGAACGACCGTCCTTGTCACCGGTAAAATTCAGCGGCGTCTTCAGTTTCATCAGGGCAACATCGCTGTCGTGAGTCCTGTGGTTGTAGTTCTTGTTCCAGATGATCTTCTCCACTAAGTGTCCGGTGTGCTGGGACAGCCTGCCTGAGCTTCGGGTCACCATGCCGGCATACACGACCCAGCCAGGGGGGAGCCTGTAACTTTGGGCCAGAAACAGAGCCGACATGAGACCTGCTACCCGCATCTGTGCATTTACTCACATTTCTGGCTATAATTTCCTACCCTGAGCCACTGAGCCATCGGCCGTCCATGTGCACACAGTGTGCAGCAGTCAACACCCACAGCCTGGTGATGATGGACCCTCCGCAGGTGTGCTGCTCATTGTAGTAGAGGCTGACCTGCCAGGGCCATCTGCCCAGCGGGGCCTCATGCCCCCCGACAATCCTTGGCAGTTTGGAGTATGTCCCACACTCTCAGGGAAGAAACAGAACAGGAGCAGCATGAACGAGAGAGCAAGGGCATTATTGAGGAGAACACGATTTCTGAGATGGGCACTCTTTTCTGTTTTGGCTTATCTATCCATCTTACATAATCACTAATCCATTAAGGGGTATGATAAGGCTGGAAGCAGAAGGTACCAGGCAGGAGCACCATGGACTGGATGTCGGTCCATTGCAGGTCACACACAATCAGGCTAGGGGCAAGTTAAAAACCGTTCAGCGAAACTGAAAAAGCACTTGGAGAAAAGCTATGCAAACACGGGGAGAGTATGCCGAGCCCACTGACACAGAACTAGCGATGTACTGTAAGGGCTCCGTTTGAGCCGCCTTGTAATCTTGCGTATTTTCACGTTTTATTTCATTACTTACCGAAGCATTTCAAGGCTATGATCTTGCCAGATATGCAGCTCTCACTTAGGAAAAAGAATGAAACAGAAAATTATGGACATTCTCTCAAAGTTTATTGTTTTTTGTTTTTTTTTTACATAATACAACAAAACATACCTGAATTGCCAAATATTCTCCGGACTGTTTTTATACTCGGGGGTAATCTGCAGAAACCCCTGTGTGTATTCGGGTCTGACGTCCCCCAGGTTGACGCCTTTGTGTTTGGTTAACCTGGAAAGGCAGAGTTCCTGAATGAAGCAGACAACGTGAGCCAGGAGCTGGCAGAAGCGGCACAGCGCCCACCTCAGGTAGCCCAGGCGCCGGCAAACCAGCGTCCCCAGGGAGGCGTTAAAGCTCTCGTAGCAAACGGGCAGCCAGGCCTGCAGCTCCTCCAGCTGGATCTCCAGGAGGGAGTTCTCCGGGCTGATTCTGTAAAACACTGAAGTGCGGCGTTTGTGGATGGTATTCATCCGCTAAAAGGTGGGGGCGACCGTGGTGAGACCCGGCCGAACAAAGCTGGCAGGGCTTCTGTGAAGGTTTCCTGAAGAATTAAAACGTCATTGAAGAATTAAAACGTCATTGTCGGAATGGCCAACACACTGACCTTTCCTGGTGTCTGCCGCGGAGATGTCCTCCGTCACATTGCAGAAGGATGTCTCCTTAGCATTCCCCAGTCCAGTCGGGCTCTGACCTGTGTCGGTCCTAAGAAGCCCTTCAACTGCTGGTGAAAAAACAGCGATATACGTGTCTTACCTTTGTGCGACATGTATACTGTATAAGATTTGAGTTTTAAAAATCAGCCTTTTGGATTAAATACACTCCACACTTATAATTGTGGAAACACCGAGTTTCTTACCTAGAAACCACATTCCAACAGCAACCCCGCCGAGCAGCCCGACAACACAGACAGCAGCAAGAACTCGTACCCACTTCTGGGCTGTGATCTTGGCAGCACCTGGGAAACATTCACACATTTTCACTTCCTGTTGTCCTAAGTGATTTGCAAATCAGTTTAAAAAGTCAATAAAAGCAAAGCACTTAAAAACAATCATATTGTCTACAACACGCATTATAACAGAAGCAACGTCGCCCTCTTCTGGAGAAGAAGTGAATTACACAAACACAATGACAGGGCGACTCGCCTTGGTCCGGGGGCGGCACCTCCCTCAGCCAGGCTGGGTCTCCATGGGATGGGCCGGCCGCAGTGGTGAAATATTCCGGCTGCTGCTTCATGGACAGCGTGTCCGAATCCACACTCTGGGTGAGATAAATGTTAGTACTGTGCCATTCCGGTTAAGGACCTCAGCTAAAATGACTCTAGGCTTTTCTCCTAAGGGGCTGCAAGGTGAGAGTCCGACCATTGCAGGCTACGCCAAACTGGGCTACGCATGAAAAAATAATACGTACAAATTATTATTACATACTGATATGATTAACACGATGCACATTTTACAATATAACTTTACAATATAATTTAATTGGTAACACTACTTGATGTGGCACAAATACTTAGCAATAACTCGGTTACTACTGAAGGACAAATTACGAACAAATCAATAACAAATATACTTGCCACTTGAGATATAAGATGCGTCACAATTCGTTAGTGGTCAACAAACATGACATCACTACGTCACTTGTGTTATTCATTACTTGTTCCTCGAGTAGTTAAAGGTTTACAAAATTAACAGATATACTAAAAAATATAGGGTGCCACTTTATAATAAGGCTACCCATATAATGAGTTCATGAATGGTTTATAATCTGGTTATTAATTAGGTAGTAACATTTTGTAAATTATTAATAGATAATTTTAAGCAAGTTATAACAGTTAAAAGTTCTTTTAATTAATGAGTTACTACCATTTACAAGTGGCAAAAGGGAGCCTTATTGTAAAGTGGCACTAAATATAGTAAGTGCTTCAAATAAAACATGCTTCAGGATGTATTCATGATTAATTAACATGAGATCATATGTAAGTTTGTGGCTAATTAATACATTAATACATACTTTAAAACGGTGGCTTTTCAAGCTACAAGCTACTTATGATTAAAAGTAGCTAAGCTACAGCCAAGCTATTGTTTTAATATAGTATAGTCAGCTACACTACAAGCTACAGAGAAAAAGTAGATGTAACTACATCGAAGTTATTTCATTCAGCTACGCTACTGATAAGCTACAGAAAAAGTAGTTAGTGGCGTAGCTAATTTTAGTTAGTTACTCCCCAACACTGTACGTAACAGCATAATAGCCTACTATACCCATATATATTGTTTCAACGTTTAATTATAGTTAAATGCGCTGAATTATGGTCAGTGCGAAATTATCAACGTTGAAACTGAATTGATTTTTGGTCAGATTTTCAATATTGAAAAACTGATGGTGGCAAAACCTTGATTCAGTGTTGATATAAAGTGAAACACTGAAGATCAACGTTTTTTCGACCTTTTTGTCTGATATGGAATCAATGTCATTTCAACGTATGTGTACTATCTGGGTATATTATTTGTGACCCGTCAAGTAAAGTGGTACCATTTCATTTTATTAAACTCAAATATTATACTCAAATAGCGGGCACCTCTGCAGCTGCACCCCGGTAAGGCCGCCTGTGAGCCCAGCTGCGCTGTCAGCCTTCCCCGTCACACACACACATGTGCGCACAGTAACAGCCGCTGTTCAGTCGCGGACAGGTGACAGCGCTGACCTTTGCTTCACACACCTGCACCGTCCCTTGCCTCATTTTCACCCAATGCATTAAAACTGTGACTGTAATTTTCTTCCACCAATCGTCGAATATGCAATATTGTATATGACTTTAACGCATTTTACACAGAATTATGCAGTTTAGCTAAAAACCAGTCTCAATGTAATATCAGTGCAAGTTATGCAACACAATCCAATGCAAGATTACAAAGTTAATTGTAATACTGTGATATTCATGTGCACGATGGTTTATTTTTAATACAAATATATAAAGTTTGTATAAACCCACGTAAAACAATTTTCGAACAAACGTATAATTCCCGCGACCTCTGTAACTAACGTAACACTTCTACGTACAGATGCTCCATGTTAGCATGCACCGCTTAATCTACTTAATTAAATTAACGGAATTTCGTGTAAATAACCTAAACTCTTTCATGCTGAAGAGTATCATAATAAAATGTTCGCAAAGTGCACACGCAGGTAAGCACAAACCACACCGCTAGCATTACGGATACAAATACACGTGTCATTAATTTATGTACTGTAAAGTTTTGTAAAAGGCAGAGAGTGGATCGCGGTGCCGGTTTACCATGTTTGCGGGGCGTGAAGGCTCTCCTGGACGGCGGTAGGATGAGGCACACTGCGCTGCCATTTAGCACAGAGCCACTCTGGATATTCTCCGTGCAAAAAGACCATGAGGTCAGCAGCCGAACAGAGAATGAACCTGTTGTTTTGCCAAGGGGTCATGGGGCCTACCCAAGGCTGGCTGAACTAGGTCTTTGTGAAGAACATAACACCTCTAGAAACACCCAGTTTCTCACCGATAGCATATTGATGGGGGGGAGGGGGGGGGAGGGTATTAGAGATGAACCCTATGCTGCCAACAGAAGGTCAGCTTTATAAGCAGAGCTGACAATTTTGTAGGTTTTCAGAAAAGACATAATTGAAAATTGCTGACAAGCTTAAAGTCGGGCCATTTCAAACTGACAGACGTAATCTAGCTAATGAAATTTTCTGAGGAAAAAAAACAAACATTTTTCTGCTGATGCGATGACAGGATGGCTCGGAGATCAGACTTCTTTTTCTTTTTAGCAAAAAGATAAAGGCATGCTAGTTAACATTTGATGCGTGAAACAGTGAAGTGGAGTACTGTTGTGTAGCGTGGGTTAACCCGGGCATGAAGGCCCTCTCTGAGGACTCTGCGTTTTTACACAGGAACCAGGTCCATTCTGGGCAGGTGAAGATGGACCAGATGAGGAAGATAAATGCTGAGGAAGGTGAAACTAAGAGCTGTCTAGCACAACCTGCCTTATAATTCACCCACCCAAATCATTTATCCTAGTCAAGCTTGGGGGAGGATCCTGGAACCTATCACAGGCAACACAGGGCACAAGGTTGGGGTACACCCTGGACGGGAAGCCAGTCCATTGCAAAGAACACCCAGTGAGCATTTCAGAGACACTAATTATCCTATTTGCATGTGTTTCGACTGCAAGAGGCAACTCCGGACATACAAGACAGAAGTTGGACATTGAAACCTAAAAACCTGGAAGGGTGAGACCACC